ACACTACACAAAGAGCCCCTTTAATCAGCCACTGTGTCTCAGTCACCGCTCACTATTAATCACTGTTCAGAATGAAAACGCCTTCCCATTCAGGGTATCTTTTCTTCCTCCTGCCATCTACTGGTGGAAATGAAAACGTCATATTCTCTCACCTGGCAGCTCCTGATTTGCAAACAGGTTGGAGTGTGAAAGCTCATTTGTATAATACTTACTTGTTATATGGAAGGCATTTTTCCAAAGGAAAAACATATATATTATACGTGATAGTTCAATCATTGAATGAATAACATGAAATTATACATACATGAACAGTGTATATAGTATAGAGTAGAGGCATGAAATCAAATTTGGCTTCAAACTTTTACTTAGCCCCTTTATCAGCTGTACAACCTAGGCAAGCTACTTAGCCACTCTTCATCTATAATAATAGTAATAAGAATGATAATTATAATGGCTAACACTTATTAATCATTATGATGAGCCACAGTGTAGTTCATTTAAACCTCACAACCCTGTAAAGTAGGTATATTACGATCTGTGTTTAAGGTAAGGAGACTAAAATACAAAAAGGTTGATAACTTGCCCAAGGTCTCACAGCTAGTAAGGAGCATATTATTCTCCATAGTTCATAATGCAAACAGCGATACCACCTCTCAGGCCTGTTCAAGGAACTAGATCTAGGCAACACATGTAAAACTGCCGACACAGTATGTTTCAGAAAATGACAGACACTGAACATTCACTGTGTGTCAGGCCCTGCAAGATCTTAACATTACATCCAAGAATAAGCCATGGTCCCTGCCCTCTAGGCGAGCACTATCACAATACACTGCAATGATCGAATTCAGCTAAAACCAGTTCAGCAAAGACAGCATCTGCCTTTTTTCTCTTCTGAATTGTCTTCCTAGTACCTGGCACAGTGGATAGGATATAGCAGACACCAGGAGGAAGGGAGAGAAGGAATAGAATTTAAAAATAAAATAACACTAGGTTCAAGACTCTGAGTCAGATAGGAGAGATGCTCTTATTTCCGTATTAACAAATGAAAGAAATTGAGGTTCAGTAACTCTCACGAGATCACACGACAGAGTTAAAGGACTCTTGACTAACACTTTCTCCACACTTTGGTGCATTCCCCCATCCCTCTGGTTTCTTCCAGCCCTTAAATGCTTGATGAAGGGCAATACTTTTTGGTAGGTATGAAATGGATGGATAGCTATGAGCAGATATAAACTTCGAGAATATAAGCAGACATTGGGGCCCACACCCTGGAGATTACATGGTCTCTACATGAGCCCATTTTCTACCTGTCTCTCTTCCACTTGGCACAAATCAGCTCTTTAGATGAGACTGTTCGGTGCTATTTCCCAGAGTTCAAATTTCTGCAGTTATTTTTAGCTGGAGTTTTACCACATACCTCAGGCAGGTGAGGCATAAAAAGGAATGTGGGTGTGGGTAACCCTTGAATCTCTCATGTCAGGGTCTGGGTCTCTTGTCATTCCAGCTAAAGAGGGGTGACTCACCCTGATTTATTAACTGTCCTGAGGTTAGATTTCACTTTAAGAACTAGGTGGATTAAAACTTCTTCTAAGTTCTCTAATTTTATATTCAAGTCTTTGGAACATACTTTCTTGATGTTAGTTATCTGCTTTTGATAATTTGGAAGCCTTCATTTTCTGTAACCAATACCACAGCTTGTGGTTCTGTCTGGCCTTTGAGGGACCTGGGAAGATAGAGTTTGTGATTTAGATTTTTTTATATATCTGCAGGTAAGAAGCTACCTGAAAAACACTCTGGCTATAAACCAGATGTCTTTATAGAGCCAGCCAAGTTCTAAGATATTCATTATGGTATTTAGGGACTAAGAATCATCAGATCTAGTTGAGTCTAAAACCCTCCTGGCAACTACTAGAATCTCAAGTGCCCTTAAATACCAGATTGCCTGGAATTTGGGGCCTGCTTTAAGCCTGGAATAGCCTACTCACTTGAAACCCATTCCCTGGGATCCTAGGACCCCTTCATCAGGTAGAGATGTGTTTTCCTCATCTCATTTTAGCTCTGTATCGAAGAAGTTAAAACCAGGCTAGCTAGTATTACACAGCCTTGATACAACGAATACTATATAAAGTGGCTTTATGATTCAGATGAAAAATAAGGGGAAATTCTTCTTCTTATGGGCTAACATTACATGACTGTTGAGCTACGCTCTTTATTAAGTCTTAAAAGTTAGGTGTGTTTGTTTGCAATCGGGGGAAAGGGAGAGGTTGGTTGGTTGGTTGGTTGAAGCTCTGTTTATTAAATCAGGAAAAAAGAACTACGAAATTATGCCAAGATGAGAACAGAAGCAAGGCCAGAGACCTCCATCCTCACTCCTAAACTAGAGCCTTTGGCATCCTGACTACAAAGACAATTTATATTTAAGAGAAAGTCATTTTAAACGTTGATAATTCTACCCATCCCACCATTTCTGAAGACCTACGTCCTGTCTTTTCTCCATTTCCTTTGTAATCGACTCTACTTCTATTCCACAATGCAATCTTAAACACCAAAGAACACAACAGTCCAGAAAGACAGTTTGTAATAGATTAATACTGTACACCCCAAATTTGTGCCTACCCGGAACCCCAGAATGTGACCTTATTTGGAAATAGGGTCTTTGTGGATATACAGTTGACCCTTGAACAACTCTTACATAAAATTTTGTAGAATAATGCATAGTTGGCCCTCCACCTCCATGGATTCCCATGATTCAAAAATAGTTTTCAATCCATGGTTGGTTGAATCCATGGATGCAAAACCTGGGGATATGGAGGTTCAACTATTAATTTATTGGGGGGAAAAAAAAGAAATATAAGTGGACCCATGCAGTTCAAACTATGTTGTTCAAGAGTCAACTATAGTTAATGAGATCATACTGGGTAGGGAGTGCCCCAAATTCAATGACTGGTATCCTTATAAGGCCATGAGAAAACAGATACACACAAAGTTCATCTGAAGATGGAGGCAGAGGTTGGGGTTATGTTGCCACAAGCCAAGGAATACCAACAATTGTTGGCAAGCATCAGAAGCCAGGAAGAGGTGAGGAAGGATTCTTCTCTAGAGGTTTCAGATGGAGTATGGCCCTGCAGATACCTTGATCTTGGACTTCTAGCCTCCCAAACTCAGACAATAAATTTCTGTTGTTTTAAGCCACTCGGTTGGTGGTACTTTGTTATAGCAGCCCTGGGAAACTAATACACATCTCAATAAGGGTTTCAGAAGCAAGATTTCGCAACTTTGCCTTAGAGGACAAGAGAGCATAAAAAACAGCCCTAAATAATGGCACAAACTCATGGCCATGTCCTCATTTACTAATGGATCACATTCATTTATTTCTGTGCCTCTTGCCCTTCACAATGACATCTTTAATTGTTCTATTTGGGACTCCAGTTTATGGTCTGGAGGTACCCACTAATATGCTCTAACACACCATTCATATTGCTTCCCTTAGTGTCCCACTTCCCAGCCTAGCAAAGCATAATTAGTTAAGCTTTAGAGCAGTAGTTTTTACTGTTTAAGTCTCCTCCAAAATATGCATATGCCCCCATGTATCCACAGACCCTAGGTTAGAGACCTCTACTTAGAAAATTCAGACTCCTTCAGGATAATTCCAATATCTCCTCCCTATCCCCTAACCAACCATCCATACTCCAATTCAATTTCCACTTGATTCTACAGCCCTCCATTGAGTTGAAACAGCAACAATCTATTCAACAATCTATTTTTTACCCACTGGCTCAGAGAGAAAGAGCTGCCATTATCCTAAGCCACCCTGGAGAGTCCCATTAAGAAAATACAACATTAATGGAGAATCAGTCTCCAGTGGTAGACACATAACAGTCACAAGTATGGCTCCACTCAAATATCTGCCTCTCCTTTTCTTCTACCCTTTTTTTTTTTTTTTGCCTCTTTACTCCTCTCACTTATCCTTCACACAAATGCACCATAATGAACAGCAAAGAAATTTGGTGTTGATAAAATAAGCCATGTGTTAGATTCCAACTAACTTTAAATGCCTTATCCATAGGCACTCATCTTAGGATACATTTGTAGCAGAATGCACCCTACCCCCTATATTTACAAAGATCTTCTTGCAATCAACAGTTTACATCTAACTACCAGAGAATTTTTCTGACATCTACTTTTCACTTCTCACCAGACACTTTGACTCTAAGTCACACAATCTCTGAAACGTGTGCTTTCCATTAAGATGAATGTAGAAAGTTTCTCTTCTGCCAAAACTTAAATCTCAGAATCTACTGGAATCACTTTACCCTGGTTCTGCTGCTCCAGACACACTCTCTTCTAATAAAATTATTTTCTACAAAAATAATCAGGCATCTTAAATGTGTAAAAGCCCTCAGAGCACACAAATGTACACAACTACAAAGTTTAAAGTTGTTTCTGATTTTCATCAACTCTCCCCTGCCCACCCCAGTCCCCACATGGCTAATATCTACTTCCTCCCCAGGTGACGTCCCAGCCTTATATCTCCTGAATTAAATCAATCAACAGATGGAGACAAAAGAAATAGTGTTCAATGGACACCAATGACAGTGAGTGAAATTAGGTCTTGGAATTCCCGTGTATTTCTGATGCTTCCTTATTTTACTCTAAGGTACCAGGAGGATAAGAATCTATATAAGAAACTAGTCTTCCTAACCACCTGCTTAATTCAAGAAGCTAAGGAAGTAATCTGTGTAAGGATTTAAGAGATGCTGTAGTCTTACTTAAAGACTTTGCTCTATCCCCAAGAAAAATAACCAATATCCTTTTAAGCAGAGCTTCCTTTCAAAGCCATCCATCATCTTGTTCCTTTGTTGATTTAAAGTCATGTTTATCATAAATTAAGGATAATAAATTTACCATGTAACTGGCACTGTCAGTTTCTTAACTATGAGCAAGATCTTACTTAAATCTATAAAGTCCTTTAACCTATAAAGGTCTTCAAGAAGTTTAAATCTTTTAAAAATGATGTTTAAATTTATTATTTCATATTAGGTCTAATGAAGCACAAGCTGAGACTGCTTAAGTATCACCATTTTATACATGTAGAAGCTTCTTTCCTTTACAATTACAGGTCAAGTGCTTCATCAACCTAGTCCTTGACTTGCAGCTGAAAAAAATGAAATGTCTGTGTGAAGTAATAGAACACATCCTACTCATGTCATGAGCAAGAAATCAAAGTTGAACAGAAATAATCTTCTCATCAGCACTGTAAAAAACATTCTGCAGTAATGATACTCCAACACATAGAAAGGGGAATAAGTACTGAATTAGCTGAGCAGGTTCTGAATGTAATTCTGACATCTTGGTCTGAAGGACTCTGTTGGAGGTTTCTTTCTTTTCTTCAAAAGGACTTTAACAGAACAGAAAGCATAAATCAAGTCTTTATAAATGAGATTAATGGCCTTTCCGTTTCTTCATTTTTCCTCCAGCCACCTTGTTCCTGACACCAATAGCACCCTCTGTATCGTCATTGTCCCCAGCATCCTCCCGTGTACGTTTCTTCTTTTCACCGTGCTCCCTTAACTCCTGATAAAAACAGAAAGGATAGGCTTGAAAATGAATTACCGTCATTGAGGTAACACATCCTGTCTTCCCTCCTTAAAATCAAACACTGAGCAACTCCTTAACACCTCACATTAGCAAAGGAGTAAGACCAATGTACAAACATATTAACCTTATTAGTAATCGGAGACATGAAAATTAAAACAATAAGCTATTATTTTCACATGGCACAATAAGCTATTATTTTCAGATTTAAGAGAATGGTAATACCTAGTATTAATCAAGGTGTGAGGACAATCACATATACTGTCGCTGACAATGTAAACTGCTATAGCTTCTCTAGAGGGGCAATGTAGCATTCTATATGAATTCGAATTTTAACTGTGTATACTCCTCGGCCCGACAATTCTACTTTTAGGAATTTATTCTAAGGAAACAAGACAAGCCTGCAAAGCTGTACGTAATAGGATGTTCAACCCAGTACTAGTTAAAATATTAAAAATTGAAAAAAGCATAAATACATATCAATGTAAATGTTACACTCATAATGCAATTCTTTGTAACCATTAAGAAATGATAGCATGGATCTATATTTGTTGAAGTCAAAAAATGTTAATTATATACGATTAGATAAAGTCTAATTATGACTCAAGAAAAATAGCCAAAGATTACCAATGGTTTTCTGTGGGGGGTGGCTTACATATTTCATTTACTATTTTAATCTTTTCTGTATTTTCTGAATTTTCCCTCCAATGCACATGTAATACTTTCATACACAAAAATATCCAACAAAGAATTCCATGTTGGAAGAAAAACAAAAACATGTCCACACTTTAGCTACTCGGGAGGTTCCCCACGGTTAAAGTTTCTCCATTCCTCAGACCAGAACTCCAGGGAGCAGAGAACACTTGCAAGGATTTTCCTTCAGAATCTTCTCATCTCCACTACTACTGTTACTGCTACTACTAGCAACTATGCTTTATATTAGCTTATCTGGTGTGCATAAAACCCTGTAAGGTATTCAAGGTATTATTCCCAATTGACAGGTGAGGAACTGATTCTGAGAGGTCCGGCACATTGTCCAAGTTTACAGCTGGGTCTTTTGATATCAAGTCCAAAGGTTTCCTTGCCACATGTAAAACATGAGCAGTAGCTAAGAATGTGCTCATCATGGTCAGACTGAGTCCAAACCTGGATTCAACCACTTAACTATAAGGTCTAATGGAGGACTGACCATCTGTATGTGTTAGCATGCTCATCTTAAATTTGGAATAAAATAGTACTCAGTTCCTGCAGTTTATTATGAGGATTAATACAATACAGTGTCTAGCACCATAGTTAATACCATTTGCATAGAAATTAGTGAAAAATAAGTTGCCTACCATTCGAGCAAATCTTTGGGCTTCAGTCACACGTTCTGTCAGCATCATAACCTCATCATCCTCTGTTGGAAAGACAGGCAGTTTCTTCCCAATTAAGTGTTCTATGCGCTGGAAGAGTTCCACATCGTATCTAAGGAAAATTGGCACAGATTTGGCTGACTGACAATGTAAATGTCTAGTCATTCCAGAACTCTATATTATATGATGCAAAAGAAGCGACAATTTCAAACAATATTAAATCTATTGTTCCTTTTCAGAATACTGATTAAATGTAATCTTCTGTATGGAGCCCATTAGAAAACCACTCGACATAGTCTTTACTCCAAGAGCCTTGGGTACATAAAATATGTTCCTTTAAAAACAGAATTAAGAATAGTACCTCTAATTCTTTGCATTGACGGAAAGTTCACTGCTCTCCGGCTCTAGCGATTGAAAGAAATAATAGTGGTTTTTTTTTTCTTCTATATGCCAAATATTATGCTAGATCCTTTTAAACATATATATCTCCAATATTCATTAAAACCCTGCTAGGTAGGCATTATTATTTTCATTTTATAAAAGATGAAAATGAGATGACAGAAGTTAAGTAACATTTACAGTAAATGGTAGAATCAGGTTCCAAGTCAGTCTGCTCTAAAGTTCTGCTCTTGACACTGTTCTGCCCCTACAGCCGATTTACTTACTGTGTGACAAAGGTAATAGCCTTTCCAGAGCGCCCGGCTCGAGCTGTTCGACCTACTCGATGGATGTAATCCTGAAACAAAAGGGTAAATAATTGGAATTATATGGAATATAAATAATAAACTATGTATGTAAAGTCTTACTGCAAACCTTTGAAGGAAAAAGAGACTTGCGTTGGAACATAAAAAAATGGATTGGGCACTTTGTTGAGATAAATCTACTTCATCTTTTTTATTCTCCTCACAGCACAAAATTGATCTCATTTTTTCCTTTCTTTTATAGAAAGACAAATCTACAGAGCATATCTACCTGGTTACAGCCAACATGGTGTAGAGAAAAGCAGCACTGGGTCTAGAGACAGACCTGAGTCAAAGCTCTCATTTTACCAGCTACACAACTGTCTACAAGTCACATAACCTCTCTGAACCTGTTTCTATCTATAAAACAGGGATAGGAACACATGCCCAAATGTGCAGTTATTGTGGAAATCAAACGAAACAGCACCTTGTCCACAGCAGTTAAATACAAAACCAAGAGATACCAGTTGTTCTCAACCAGAGACGACTTTATTCTCCCTAGGGAACATTTGGAAAAGTCTGGAAACATATCTGGTTGTCACAATGTCAGCTGTGGGCAGAGGCCAGGAATGCTGCTAAGCATCCTACAATGCAAAGGACAGTCCCCACAACAAAGAATCCACTGGCCCCAAGTGTTAACAATGCCAAGATTGAAAAACCCTGAAATTCACTACGAACCACAAGCTGTCACTTTGAAAGAAATGAGACAGACAAAGGTCAGCCCCTCTGACTGTGAGCATCTAATACCACTCCCTGGCTACCTTTATCCACATGTATTAAGATTCTATCCACGGGGGGCTATTCTGGCTATATTGGGTTAAATAAAACACATTTATTAAAATTAAAAATGAAAGATTATACCTGCAGGCACGTGTGAAATGATGAGAAGGAATAAATCAGGACAAAAGAAAAACAAAACAAACTTTGATACTTAACTAAATCAAGGACCAAAAAAAAAGTTATAACTAAAGAAAGACAAAAAACATTTCACTAAGAAATACTCTGGACAAAATGGAATATTATTCAGCCATAAAACAAGAATTAAATCTTGCAATTTGTGATAACATGGATGGGACCTGAGGGTATCACGCTAAGTGAAATAAGTGAGAGAAAAATAAATACCATATCTCACTTATGTATAGAATCTAGAAACAAAAACAAAAAACTGAGCTCATAGCTATAGAGAAGAGATTTGGTGGCTGCCAGAGAAGGGTGAAATGGGTGAAGGGGCTCAAAAGGTACAAATTTCCAGTTATAAAATAAATAAGTCCTGGGCACGTAACATAATAACATGGTGACTGTAGTTAATAATACCGATACTGTACTGCATACTTGAAAGTTGCTAAGAGAGTAGATCTTAAAAATTCCTAACACATGAAAAAAAAATTGTAACTATGTGAGGTGACAGATGTTAACCTGACTTACTGTAATGATCATTTTGCAATACATACAAATATTGAATCATTATGTTGTATACCTGAAACTAATATAATGTTATATGTCAATTACACCTTGGTGGAAAAAAAAGAAGTAAATTTAGGATTACAAAGTCAGGTCAGCAACAGGACTCACCTTGGAATGGGTAGGAATGTCAAAGTTGACAACTACATCCACGTGAGGTATGTCCAAACCTCGGCTTGCAACATCAGTTGCTAGAAGAATTGAACGAGCCTTTGCCTTAAACTTATTAAGGGATCCTAGGCGCTTACTCTGAGATAATGAAAAACAGAAATGAAAATAATTTAAGGAATCTTGGAATCCAAGACATACGAACTAGACACACTGAAATACAAGAGACAGAAGTTTTTAAAACAATGTTTCCCCCTAAGTCCAGACTAAACTTCACAGGTCAAAAGGAAACATGGAAGAAACGGAAAAATATTCAAAACTCAGGCTAGAAATTACTAACATGAAATAGGAACTGTTTAATGTGATAGAAAGATAATTGGGAAATAATTAAAAGTCCTTAGTGACCACTATTACCACTAGGACTGAATAAATCAACTCAAAAGCTTCCGTACCAGCAACTACCTATAGAATATCCTAACCTGAGTCTCCTGCTATCCTAAAAGGAGGAAGTAAGCATCCAGAGCAACACTTCAAAGCCCAAAAAATCAGAACAATTATGGGAAAATATGCATAAATGTCATGTGTTGTTACTAAACAAACCCACTACTATAAGCTTTCTCTTTCTCATGCTACCAGTTCACCACTAATGATGCCAAAGAATCTTTACCTGACTCATCTGTCCATGGAGGGGGATGGCAGTGAATCCAAGATTTCGGAGTAGCAAAGCTGTTCTCTGAGTATTATTACAGGTGCTGCAGAATATCATAAAGGAGTTTCCAGCCAACTCATTTAGAATATAAACCAGGTAAGTATCCTAAGTTACAAACCCAAAACAATATATGTAATTGAACCTGGAAGAAAAGGTTGGAATCCTGGGCATATAAATTACACAAAAGACTAAGCCTATTGTTGCTTCTCAACCATCCAGACCCCCAGCTGTAAGCTTTGCACTCCTTAACTAGCATTGTCATCTCTGTGAACCATGAATTCTACATATAGCCTAAAGCCAAGCACAAGGAAATCTGTACTCAGCAACCAGAAGTCCTTAAAACAAAGCACAAAACAAGGGTCCCTTGACTACAAAAAAGCCACATAATAAGCACACAAAAGAAAAACAACCTCAAGGATGGGGCTGGGAAAGAATTATATAATGACTTCATTACAGTGGTTTATTTAATTTGGGAATTCCCAGAATATCTGACTTTATCAGCGATAACTATAAGTACATCATGCTCTCTAAAACAAACAAAAAGGACTCCACTCTGTAGCACAGCTCTTAGCTAATCAAGATTTGACGCATTTTCAGATGCTTTGGTGAGGGAGAGGGAGAGGCAAGAATGATCAAAGCGAATACTTTACCTTGAATTTAGAGGGAATAAAAAGATAATATTGTTGTAATTTCTCAACCGTCTGGTATTTAGAGGAAACAGCACATTTCACAGGATTCTTCAGCGCCGCTCGCTGAAGTTTTTGTACCTGAGGGAAAAAACCTAGATTAGTACACCGATTTCCCAACGCTCTATTTTTATTACTGTTGTTACTATTGTTTTCATTTATCAATTCTTATAAAAAAGAAGTCCTAGAAAAATCTCACCTTCTTGGTCATGGTAGCAGAGAAGAGTAATGTTTTCCGATCTCGGGGAATCACTTTAAGGATCTTGTCAACCTAAGGCACAAAGAGGAAAGGAACCAATTTAACATTAGACTGGACACCTGCAAATCGTCTTTGTGAAGGAGATAGAGAATAGAATGATGAACTAAATACATCATTGTGAGGATCCGGGGACTCAAAAAATTCAATTCAATTCAGCTAAAATTTACTGAGTATTTGCTATTTGACACCATACCAGATGCTATAAAAAAAAATGTGATTCAGAGAAAAAGAACAATTTAAGTTAGTAGATTAGAATTAACCTAAGAGAAAAGTCAAGAATAAGTATTAATCAACTAAATAGGCTATGATGAGTCATCATAGAAAACAGATATTTCAAGGTGTATGAAAAAGGTCCGAATCAAATGAAGTAGAAAATAAAATCTCATTTTGGTATTTCTCATCTCTGAAATTGGAGTCAAATTATATTCTAAAGAAGATGCTGAGGCACTGACAATGCAAAGAGGACCAAGAGTGAAAAATGACAGCAGAGACGTTCAGATTAGCTGATCATGATGCAGTGTTCCACATAAAGCAGGTGTACAATGAACCAAATTTTTAAACAGGGCACTTGAGATGCTCTAAAAGGAGGAAAGAAATTGAGAGCTTACCTCTGTCTCAAAATCCATATTCAATATTCGGTCTGCTTCATCCATGACCAAGTATTTGAGAGCTCTTAAATTGAAACCTTTTGTATTTTCCAAGTGGTCAATCAATCGACCAGGAGTTGCTACCAAGAAAGGTTGAGGAGAAAGAGCAATGTTTAGGAAGGAAGAAAAAAGGAAAGAATATTACCAAGCCCCTCCTCAATCCCCCCTCCCTCCCCCGTCAATTTTAGAAATTAAAAAAATAAACAGGGTTACAAAAATCTCTTCTTCAGAGTCTTTCCACACAAGTAAGTTATACCCAACATTAGCAGATTTTCTCCAATTCATCACTGTCAGTGTCTTACCTTTGTCAATTACTCACCTATTACTATATGTGGTTTTTTTGCCAGGGCCAGAGACTGGGACATTGAATCAATTCCACCTACAATCACAGCTACAGGGAAAAAACAAACAAACAAACATAGAAAAGAGATCCTTAATTTTTTCCCACAGTTCACTGAACAACTTTTAAAGCCAATAGTAGATTTCTACTTAAACATGTTCCTCCCTTAAATGTACAACTTTCCCCCAAGCCAAAAAACCAAATCAGCTCTTTAGTTCAATAAACTTATCCTAATAATACTTCCTTCCATTCTCCTTTCACACTCATTCTCAACTCATGAAGAAACTCTTAAGACTCCTTCCACTCAGACACTTACCACTCTGTACTCCAATAGAAGACCCCAGGGCTTCAAACTGTTCTGAAATCTGAAAGGCCAGCTCCCGGGTGGGGGTGAGAACTAAGGCAAACAAACGCTGGGGCGTCTCCAGCAGCGCATTCAGAATGGGCAAAGCAAAGGCCCCTGTTTTTCCAGAGCCAGTTTCCGCCAACCCAATGATATCACGACCTAGAAGAAAAAGAAAACGTCTAATGGCAAAGAAATTTTCTCTGCATTTTCCCCACATTTTGTACAACAAAATGCTGGGCACAAAGCAGACACTGAATAAATATTTGATAAATTATAGAGAGAGGGAGGTTGCATAGACATAAGACATGGTCTCTGTTCTAGATAAGATCAAAATCCAAAGATGAGATACAAATACACAAATACATTATAATGTAATAAGTGCTTTAACATAAGCCCTGTGAAATACAGTGAGAACACAATGGAAGGAGTAACTTACTGCCCTAAGGAGTCAGGAAAGGCTAACAGAGGTGATAGGTAAATTAAATCTGGAAGTTAAGCAAAGAAGGAAAGAAAGGATGTTCCTGTATAATGAGAAGATGGAGACTTTAAAGAACATAGCATACATAGGGAGAGTGAGAAGTACAATGTCTAGAACACAGAAGTCTTAAGGGGGGGAAGGGAGAAGAATGAGGCTTTAAAAAAGGAACTCATAAGCCATGGTAAAGAGTTTTGATATATTCCTATAAGAGAGAGGAACTGAAGAATTTGAAGCAGAGAACATAGTGACCAATGTTATTCTTTAGGAAGATAAACTAGAACTGATGGCATACGGAGCAGCTGAGGAGTTTTAACAGTGCAGGCCATTCACAATGCTCCTTCTGAGGGAAGAATGACATAAGTAATTCCTTAAGAATAGGTCTCCATGGTCTGTTATCACCAATCAAACCATTATTGATGAGATGTGGAAATTAACTCCCAAGCCAAAACACTAGAACAGTGCCCAATGGGAATGCTTACTGAGCGATGATCGCCACAGTTGATGCCTGCATTGTTCCTTAATTGTATAACTGATGAGGTTACCTAGACATTAACCCTAAAATAAATCCCTTTTCCCCGAAGTAATCTGAACATGACTGTTTCTTCCACTCTAAAAGCACCTACCTAAACAACCATGGGGAACACACAGGAAAATGAGAGCTCAATTAAGATACCAGGGGAGTTATGATGGTGGCTTGAACTGAGTCAAGGCAGTGAGGATATGAACAAGTGAGATTTAGAAAGTAACAAAAGGAAATGTGGTTGACATACAGGTTTCTAGCTTGAGAAAGTCAAAGGCCATAAACTGAGACAGGAGCTACAAGAAAATAAGTTCTGGTGAGGAAATAATGACTCTGGTTTGGGCATAGTTCCTATGGAAGCTCAGAGAGAAATATCTGAAAACCAACTGGAGATACTGGTTTGGAGCTCAACAGAAAAGTGTGGGCTAGAAATTCAGACATGGGAGCCATGAACATCCTACTAGTTACCAGTGGTTCTCCTTCAGGGCAGACGCATCAGAATAATCTATGAGACTGTTGTAACTATACATGCCTGGGACCCACACTTGGAAATTCTAATTCACTAGATTTAGGCTGAAGCCCAGAAATCGCTATTGTTTTAAAGCTTTCACTGGTGATTCTAATGAGCACTAGCTGAGACTCACTGATGCAGATAGTGTTAGAGCTTCAGGACTGGATGAGAAATTTTAACAGTGTTTTGGGGGGCAGGGAAGGATGCTGATAGAATTAACAACAACAACAACAACAACAACAACAAAAACTGAGAAAGAACAGCTAGAGAGACACAAGAAGACAATACTGACCTAAAGTTAAAGAGGAAGAGAGTTTCAAGAAAGAGGAGTGGTTAATACCAATTAGAATGCACTTTTCAACATCCATCTCTTAGACATCAATCTCTTAAGCTAGGATCCGCCAGGTCAAACAACAGTATATTCTAGTGAGTTCTACCCTTTAGCCCCCAAGCCATTAATACCAGTGTTTTCCACACAAAAGGTTTTCCACACAAGAGGTGTGAATTATAAGTTAGACCAGACAATGGACTAATCTTGTGAAGGTTCCAGAAACAAATTTCACACTCATGTATGAATTTTAAGGTTCCCCTTGATTGTAGGGTAGGTAACAATGAATTCCAACAGCATCCACCTATGTGCAGCTAAGAACTTCCGAAGCTTTTTATTCCCCAACTCTTTGGGGATTCTACCCTCCTTGCCTGCGTACCACAACATGACTTCAGGAAAAGGAAAAAACAAAATAAAACAAAACACTGTCTGTCCTTTTTTGTCAAGAGAATTCTTAAAATTTCAGAAGAAAGGATAAAGAAAAAAGATCTGGGAAAGGAAAAGAGCTTAAGTCGCTCAATCATGTGGCTGTGAGCAATGCCCACTGCCACCAGTGAGGCCTGTACTGCTTTCAGGGTTTTTTAATAATCCCCCAATACTGTTTGTAAAATTGGTAATTTTTCCTCTATCATCTCCTTTCTTCTTCACACAACTCCGAAGCCTGTTCAGTGGTAGTATGTGTAGAATACACTAGAATACATAAACTCTGTAAGAGCCGAGTAAATTCATATTCGCCTGCCACTCTGTCAGCACCTAACACAAGTGCTAGTGTATGGCAGCTATTCAAAAAATGTCTGAAATTCCTAGAGGACTCTGAGTGATCTCTGAAATAGAAATAAACTTAATACAGCAAACAGATAAGAAGGAAAGCATGCTTAAAAACCATCAAGAGATTTTGGTCACCATAATAACACTGTGATATAGGGCCAAGAACATAGGCTTTTCAACTAAGAGATCCTATACTTTTAAATTCCAGCTCCAGCATTAATTAGCTGCGTGACTCTAGCCAAGGCATTTAGTCTCAATTTCACCAATTATCATTTCTACCTTTGGGATTGTTATAAGGCTGAAGAACAATGGATGTACCCAGGACTCGGTAACTTCTTAGAAACTGACACCATCATTACTACTTACATTAAAATTTTAAAGTTAATTTAATAGAAGAAAATAAAAAAAAACTTTGTTAGATATACTTACATCGTTTGCTTAGAACCAGAATCTAGAGAGTCAAATGAAAAATTTGCAAACTGCTCATTAAAGTGAGACGAGCTCAAGTATAAGAATAAACACATTTTCCATGGTGATTATGTCAGTCATGTTACTCAGCTCCCAGTAATCTTTTATTGACTTCTATTTTCTCTGCATTAAATACTAACTTTTGACTGAAAACGTTGTGAATAATTTTAAACTTATTACCACCACCTAATTTTGAGTCTTTCTTCCTGTGTCGCAGGTTAAGAAAAAGTCAGAATATACCAATCCTACTTTTTGTTATTTAAAAGGAACTCTGACACTGCTGACTGCTGAGACTTCTTCCCCCTAACGGCCTTTATACAGTCCTTATCTTTCTAGCTTCTCTAAACAAGTTGAAAGTTTACTATCTTCTCCTTGAAACAATATCCCTACCTAATTTGTGTGAAATTGTATTCTGATTTTCAACACTTTACTAAGCCTTCATTTCTCTTATCATCTCTTGGCCTTGTCAGGCAACCTCACCCATTTTCACAGTTTCAGCCTACAGCCTCTTTGGACATGGGGTCTATAACCAGCTCTGTCCTCTTAATCAAGCTCTAATCGCTTGTAGGGTTAACTCAGAACATAGCCCCTCCAAATACTCAGAAGACTGATAGCTGCCCAGCCAGCAGTCGAGGAAGGCAATACACAGAGGGCTTTCAGCAGAGCCTACTCCCAGGACATTTTCTGCTGCTCCCATGGACATTATCTGCTCTTGTAAGCAAGCAGCACATCTTGCTCCCATCGTTCATAGAAGGCTCATTGCTTCCCCAATGAGACAACCCCTCCCTCTGCTTATGTGCATAAAAAACTCTGCTTGCTCCTGGTCAGGAGCTTTATTCCTGCAGCTTCAACCAGCCTCTGCTGTAGCTTCCCTGCCTTGTGAGTAACAAACGGCAGTTCTCACCCCTCTAGTCCTCCTAGTGTTTCTTCCGAAATATCCAAACCCAGGTGCAAGTTCCAGGCGTGGGGCTCCAGCATTACATATATCTATTCCAACTGTGTATTAGTCAACTCAATCTCTCCGATATTTGCAATTATATCTAAATGAACTCATCTTTACTGAAATTACTTTTCCTCCTGTGTTTGCTTTCTATATCAGTGATGTGAATAATATGTTCTAAACACATAGGCTAGAAACCTTGCAATAATTTGAGATTTCCCCTCTCCTTGCCTTCCATATCAACAAACTGGTTACAAAATTAGAATTCTTCTATCATTTTCTCTTTTTCATTCTCACTACCACTACCCTGCCCATTATTTATTGCCAAAATTATTGCATTGGCCTCCTAATTTACCTCCCAGCCTCCAGTCTCTCATCTTTAAACTGTCTTACACACTGAGATGTTTCGAGACTACAACTCTAAGGATTTCATACCTCTGCTAAAAAATAATCTCCAAAGCTGCTCCCCTTGCTGTGAAACAAAGACCAAATTCCTTTAACTAGCATTCAAGTCTTTCATGATCTGGCCCCAATCACCTTACTATTCTTCCCCACCACTCTGTTAAATTCTTGCAGATCTCCACACATGCCCAGGTTTTCCAGCCATCTTGACTTTTTTTTATGTTGTTCCCTATCCCTAGAAAGTCCTCCCTCCCATCAAATCTAAATGTCTAAATACTATTCAGTCTTCGAGGTCTGGCTCAATTGTCTTTCCAATCTCCCTAACCAAAACAAAAAAATGAAACAAATTTAATCCATTCCAATGAGAAGTAATCTATTCTACTAAGTGCACTTTAAATGTTACTTTCTTAGGTCCTTGTTCACCTTGTAATTAATTTATGTCTCCTACTAGACTGTAAGCTCTTGTAGAGGGCAGAATCTTAACTCTCAGTACTTTATACTTGTATCAGATACTTAGTGACTCTTTATGGAAGGAGCAAATGGAATTTTACAAGTCTAATTCTTTTTCTGCATGACAGCTCTTCAAATAAAGACAGACAATTATATCCCACCCCTTAACCCTACTCTTCTCCAGATCAAATACACTTAGTTCCTTTAACAATTTGTGACTATTCTCGATACTACACCACACTCAATGCTGGTCCATAAAACTGGTCCCCAAAACTTAGTATTGTAGGTGTGTTCTAAACAGTGCAAAACAAAGCACTAGTCTCTTACTAGAGCTAGTTCAGGAGTTCTTAACCTGGGATTTGTGGGAGAGGAATTCAGGGCAAGAGGTAAATTTTATGTGTAGATATACTTATACATTTTTTTTCTGGGGAGAAAAATCTTATTATTATTATTTTTAATGTCTACAGCACCTGGTCCTCGTAAGTGGTCTCCCATCTAAGTACTAACCAGGCTCAACTCTGCTCAGCTTCTGAGATCAGACAGGATCGAGCACATTCAGGGTTGCATGGCCGTAGACAAAAATATTATATTTTTATTTGATTCTCAAAGGGATAAAAAAAAACCAAAATCACCCACCCCTAACAGTAATGTAGCTAAGATTATACTCTCTCTGAGGATTTTAATAAATTTCAGTTAACACTTCTGGGTCTCTTCTACTGCTCACCCTAATCCCGTAAATTTGAATTTGGGGAATCTAAGAACAAGACTTTACCTCTACTCTTATTAAAGTTCATCCTGTTAGTTTCAGTCCCACTAGTCATCAGCCAACACTTTAAACACTCTTCTGCAAATCTGATAAACATGTCTCACAGCAAGAGCTCTCAAATCTCTAGAGACTAACAGAGATTCCAGACACCCTTACATAAATCTGCACTTATTGATTCATAATTTCTAACAAGTTTCTCATTAATACACTTTAATCCAATGCTTCTTTAAAGTCAGCATCTGCTAAGGATACGAAATCCCCTTTTAGAAAGTAGGCTGAGTAAAAATGGAGTACTTTTTCAAAAGCCAATAGACCAAAGTTTCTGTCTTTAGTGACCATACTTTTATTTCACTGAAGTCTGCAAGCAATGCTCTCAAAGCAACATGTATTTGAGAATAACTTCATACTGAATCTGTACCAGGGCACAAATTCAATTTCAATTTACCTTGTAAGGCCAAAGGAATAGCTTCAATCTGGATCTTGGTGGGTTTTGTCCATCCCAACTGGTCACAAGCTTCACACAACACATCTGTCACACCCTTAGAATTCAGAAAAACACCCGTTAGCAAAGAACACACACTCACCTCCCTCCTAATAACCGTCAGAGCCACCATACTGGTTACATGTGCATCCCTTACACTTTGATTCAAACGCTATCTAGTGCACCTACTCAGTTTGCTCTTAACTGAGTACCATGAGACAGTAGCTCAAGACTTAACGAACGCTTTCTACTTACTAGGGACAAAGCCACGTTCGAGTTCGGGAAATTCTGGGGAAATCTAAGCTAGGCCCCAGCTACTTCTGTACTCCATCAGCTGGATTCAAAGGCAACCGGTCTCTACCTGAGCCTGGCGCCAGCAGGACAAAAAGGAGTCAGCGTCATCCACACTCACCAGGTCTTTAAATGTTTTAGTTTCCTCCTCCCCCACAGCCGGCTGGGGCGCTTCAGTTGGGGAATCGTGCTCCTCGGGCGCCGCCATGTCGTCCGCGGGCTCCGGAAGTAAGTCCGCGGCGCGCGGGATGCTGGTAAATGTAGTTGTAGTTCTCCCTAGACTGTGTGTTCTGGGCGCCCCCGTGTGGGCTTGCCGAGCTTTACACCAGCCTCCCAGGAGGGTGGGCCTTTACGAAATCTGATGAAAAAGTTAGGAAAGGATGTAAGGGTGGATGCTTGTGGAACTGAGCAGATCACCAGGGCCTCCAATCTGCCCTTTAGGCCCCTTTTAAAAAGCTTTTCTCACACACCTATTATGTTCCTCGCTTTCCTAACCTTAGAGTTTTAAACAGGTTAACATCACAGTACTATTTATTATAATTATAATTTCATTCATTTATTCAAATATTTGTTGAGTGCCTACCACATGCTAGAATTATGCTAGATGCCTAGTGACCAGGAAATGTTCCCTGCGCTCGTGAAGATGACGAATAATAAGTGATCACAGTTCCTTTCAAACTGTGAAAAGTGCTATGATGTAACAAACAGAAATAAAACTGATGGAGACTAACCTGGGGATGTGGGTTTGTGGGGAACAGCAAGATTGGGGAGGGCCTCTCTGAGGCACTGATATTTGAGCTGAGACCTCACTGATGAGCAGAAGAAAATATCTTCAAGAGCCCGGGGGATAATTATTTCAGACACAGGGAAAAGCAAGTGCAAAGGCCCTGAGACAGTACAGCTGGTGAGGCTGTTCTGGAAAGCAATCTGTCACTACTGAGGCAGGTTAAATATGTTGTCTACCCTGTGCCCAGCAAGTGCACTCTTGTGGGCCAGCATGCAGGTTCTCACATGGTGCCAGGGTGTTCACTGCAGCGGTGTTCTGGAAGTGGAGAAGCAATCTGGTATCCATCACTGAAAGAGTGAATAGGTAAAATGTGTAAATGGCGTGAACGAACATGCCCATAACAATATGGCTATATCTCAAAAACCTAGTGCTGAGTAAGAAAAGTATAAAATATATTGTGTACATTTAAAATATACATGCACGAGGTATCATTTTCTGCTGGAACACATGCATGGCACTTGTGATGATAACGTGCCTTGACCTGAGCATTGTCAACTGAATTCAATATGCTTGACTTATCGAGGGGATCACTTTGTAAGTTATATAAATGTCTAACCACTATGCTATATACCTGAAACGGATATAATATTGAATGTCAACTATAAATGAAAAGTAAGAAAAATAAAAATAATTTAAAAATCAACTTACCTGAGGGCCTTCCCACCACCATGCCAAAAAAGGCCCTGATTTAGGAACCAGTGGTGTCTGCAACAACAAAATCAGGTAGGGTGAGGTCAGAGAAGAAAGCTCAGCGCAGACCTTGCAGGGCCCTATACTAAAAGGTATGGGGCTTAGATGTTATCCTAATTACAAAAGGAAGCCACTGGAGGGTTTTGAGCAGGGAAGTGACATGATCTAGGTATTTAAAATATCACTCTGACTCTATATGAAGATAGATTACAGGGAGAAAAGGTGAAAAAGAAAGACCATCTAGGAAGCATGAGTTGGTCTTCAAGCCCCCAGCTCTAAGCACAAAGCCTGACCCCAAAATGGGTGCTCAATAAATGCTGCCTGGATGAATTACAACTCAGCAAAGTGTTGGGACCACGTTCAGTGACAGACCAGGAAGGACTTCACTGGTTGTTTCTTCAGAGAGTGAAGTCTTTTCCATCTTTGAGACTACATCCTGCAGGGTGAGCTGGGGCCTGTGGTCTTTTTATATCCATCTACCCCAAGTAAAAGGAACAGAAGATACACATTGTATAAATCAAGAGGTCACTTTGGAATTGATTCCATTAGGCTGTCACTAGTATATGCTTGGGCCAATGTAGTCTAAGGCTCTTTGGCCTTCTGTTTAGCTGTCCCTTATGGCTACCCTCTCCATTTTCCTAGGACTGAGACTTAAGCCACTTTAGAGGATGTCCAAAGTGGATAACAGGCTTTGAGATAAGGGGAAGTTGGCTTATCCCAAGGAAAGTCTACCAAACTAACTCTGGCTCTTCCTCTTCCAGTAGTGTGCTTTGAAAATCTGCTGGGAGATTTGTGCTCCTGTTAAACCAATGAGGAACCTGAGTCCCAGAGAATAAAGACATGTCACACAACAAGGTCGCAGAGACAAGACGAGAATCCAAGCCTCATGAGCCCAAAGCAATGCTTTTACCGAAGAGAACATCGCTTTACATGATGATAAGCAGCTGCCTCCTGCTCACTTATACTCAGAATTCCTCAGCCACACAGATTTTTCTGTAAAAACAGAGAAGCAGCTAAAGTATTTATTTTGCTTCATTTAGACTCATTCTCCAATTTCATCTAGGAGAGCGGAATGGGAAATGAAAAGTGCTGAGAGGTGAAAGACATGACTGAGGAGAGAGGGGAAGCAGAGCTAAGAGGCTGAAACAGGGACCCAGGTGGGACCCATCGGAAGGACTATAAAACTTTATGTAATATAGGGTCTAAAGTTACCCAAGTTTTGTTAAAATGTGTTACAGGAACAAAAAAAAAAGGTCACACATAAGATTTCTGGAGGTCTGGTGCTGCTCTAAAGGGGAAATGATTTAAATCACTCAACTGCTATTATAATACAAAACTCTTGTCCATTTTAGCCAAGCAAAAACCTTTTCCGTTTGTTTGTTCTTGGATAATTCAGACATCGGCTATTTTTAAAACTTCCTCGAGTGGCAGTGTCCCTGAGGCGCCCGCCACCCGACGCCAAGAGGATGTGGCGTGCAATGACGGCGGCGGCAGCGTCACTCAGTTCCTTGGTCCAGGCTCCCGCCAGGTTTGGCCCTTAACCAGCACCACCTCGGAGAAAGGATTCATATCAGACCTACAGGGTGACCACAGGTGGAGTCCAGAGAGAAAAGCCTGCATAAACTGAGAGGATCGCCTGCTTTTGCCTGTTCCTACCAGATTTAGAGTAGTTTGGATATTTACATTCTCGTCATGGAAACAATAGCGGTCCATTCTAGTAACTGAGCTGTGTCATATCCTGTACTTTTAGAACAATGAGGAAGGTTAAAGAGGAAATCCAAATAAACACTCAAAATGATAAGGGGTGGAGAGTAGAGGCGGGGGCCGGCGGGGAGATGGGGAGAGAAACGAGCCTGAAACAATATACTGGCTCCAGAAGGAGAGGCCAAAGTGACTAACCCCACCTTCCTCTGAAAGGTTTTCACAGTGCTCTTCCTCCACACACACACACAAAAATATTAACAATTATAATTTATGGCTACATCAGTATAAAGACAAATACGTTAATATTATTTATTAAATATTTTCTTTGGTTTAAAAGTTCATTTTTTCCTTTGAGTTTTAAAAGAAATTAAAACTTTTTTTGCAGGCTTTTAAAAGCATGAGTGAGTTCTAGGCACTGTGGCTCCTGTGCCTAGTTGATAAGGAAAAGGCACAAGGACCGTGGTGAAGCCTTCACAGGGCCAATGATACTGGGCTGCTGTGTGTGCGGTGTGAGCATGTTAGGATAGCAGTGGCTCCTGGACCAAAAGTAAAATGAGCTTTCCAAACTTAGGGACAACAGTTCTGTGGGGGATTCAAACAAGAATCGGTTATTAATCAGCTTCTGCTCAAAATCCTCTCAGAAATTGCATACCCTCCGGTCTGTTTTGGAGAAAGTTCACTTATAACAAAGTGCAAATTTTAGTCACTCAGAAAATTATCTTTAACTTATGAATCACAAATTAATTTAGTTATCCCAATTTGGGTCTAGGGAAAAAAGATAACTAGTCCTGGTTATTTATTGATTTCCTTTTCTTTTTGCTTTGGTTTAAAAGTTTTCTTAACATACATAAAATCTGTCTACAGCCATGCCACCCTGAACAAGCCTGATCCTGTCTGATCTCAGAAGCCAAGCAGGGTCGGGCCTGGTTAGTACTTGGATGGGAGACCACCTAGGAAGACCAGAGTGCCGTAGGCGTAAAAACTAAAAAATAAGGGATTGTAAGCTGACAAGGTCCTTGCAATCTGTAAGGTCAACCAAAGGTTGCCTTGCCTAAAAAAATAAAAAATAAAAAAAAATAAAATCTGTATTTGTTCCTTTTTTTATTCAACAAATATTCTCAAGCACGATGGCAGACCACAGGCCAATGTTAGGATCCAGAAGTAAGCATGACTCCTATGCTCCAGTGGGGGAGACACCCTATTTAAAAAATAATAATAAATAAGTAAATCCTCACAATCAAGTGGGACAGACAGACCCAACAAAATAATCACAAGTGAGACGAGTGGTACTGAGAAGACAAGCAAGATGCTAGAGCAATGTGCAGTGGGATGCTCTAAACCTTCTCTGTGAATCATGGACATTCTCTGGGTGGAAGTGACTTTAAACTGAGACCTGAAAGATAAACAGCTCTTACTAGCTACGTAGTGAGTAAAGAGGGGTTTATAGACAGAAAAAAAACCTTCCAGATTAGGCCCTATGGCAGAAAAAATAAAATGAAGCTCACAGAGATTATAAAGTGGTGATTTATGATGAAGCTGAATGTATAGGGAGAGACCTGAGTAATTAGGGCCATGGTCAATGTCACTCCATAGGCCATGGCTGGGAGCAGCTCAGTGTGATTATAAAGCCACCTTCTCTACCACACCTGCCATTTGGCCCCTTAAACATTAGCCAGAGCCCCTTGGTCCACTACCACCCTTGGGTCTTTAGGATAAGAGATATTTACGTCCAGTATCTGAAAAAAATCTGGTGCCTCAGACCGAGAATTACAGTAAAGAAGACAAAGATGTTCTAGACGTAAATAAAACATGTAAGGAATGGGTTTAACTGAAGTCAACAACATGCAGGAAATTCAAATGTTACATTATAATCCTTATGCAGAAAACCACAAAGGCTAGAATTTTATGGTCACGTCATACTGTGCTGCGGGTAATAAAGCAAAGGCAGCTTTGATTATTTCCTGGTTTCCTGGCGGTTTTGTATTCTTTTCATATGAGTAGTTTTTTTTTTAATGTATATACATTTTTTTTTAAAAAAAAAACACAATTTCTAAAAAATCTATCACTTCATGGACAAAAATAAAATAAAATAATGTCCACAGAAAAAATATTAGAAATGGAGATGTTTATATAAAACTGCTTGGCAACTCAGATACCACTGTCACTTTGAAATAAGTATAATACACATAATAAGTATAATAAGTTTCTGGTCACACTTTTAAATAGAAGCATGTGAATTTGCATATATGGAGTTTGCTGCCTAAATGTTTGAAATAAACAAAACATTAACTTCTATCCTGGATATTTCTCACGCTTGGTGATAGTCCAACATCTTTCGAACAGTTTTCCAGTGATTGGCAAAGTTCCTCCAGTACAAGTCCTTTTTCCTAACTAGAAACCCGAAACTCGCTCTTCCACCCCTCTGCTGTTCTGCCTTCATAACACGTCAGGAATCTGACGACTTTTCTCCACTCTCAGCTGCCGACATCTCTCACCTGGATTTACTGCATTCGCCTCCTCACTAGTCTTCATGCTACACTCTTACCCCCTAGCAGCAAAGGGATCCTTTTGAAATAGAAGTCCGATCAGATCTTTCCTCTGCTCAAACTCTTCCAATGACTTTCCATCTCACCCGGAGTAAAAGTCAAGTTCTTACAACAGTCTACACAGCCCTACACGTTCAGGCCCCAACACCTCTCTGAACTCATGGCTCCTGACCACACCAACTTCAGGTCTTCGCTCAAATGTCACCTTGTCATTGAGGCCTTGGGACCCCTCCCAGCAGCACTCTCTCCCATCTCTGCTTTGTTTTTCTCCATGGCACTTACATAGTAAGCAGAATGTGGCCCCTGAAGATGTGCACATCCAAAGCAACAGAATCTATGAACCTGTTATATTCCATGGCAAAGGAGAATTGGGTTGCAGACAGAATTAAGGTTGCTGATCAACTGACCTTAAAACAGGGAGAATATCTTGGATTGGATGGGCGGGTCCAATGTAATCACGAGAGTCCTGAAAGTGGAAGAGACAGCAGAAAAGGTGGTCAGAGTGATGCAATGGGAGAAGCACTCACCCCGTCACTGCAGGCTTTGAACAGGGGTAAAAAGAATCAGGGACCAAAGAATGCAGCAGCCTCTAGAGGTGGAAAAGGCAAGAAAACAGATTCTCCTCTAGAGCCTCCAGGAAAGAACACAGCCCTGACAACTCTGTTATTTTAGCCCAGTGAGATCCGCATCAGACTTCTGACTGTGAGAAAATAAATTTATGTTGTTTAAGCCACATGATTGGCAGTGACATGTTACAGCAGCAGTAGGAAACAAACAAAGGCCATCTCACAAACTGGCTATTGACTTCTTTCTTTATGTCTGTATTCCCTATCATCACTAGACTACAAACTCCATGATACCAGAGATATTTGACCTGTTTGTTTATTACTCTATGCTCAGTGCCTAGAAATACACCCAGCATATAGTAGGCACTCAATGAATATTTTGTTGAATGAATAAATATCTGTGTGTCTGTAAGTGTGTAGTGCGTTTGACAGGGGATGAAGAAAGGATAGATGAAGCAGCAGGTCACATGTTTGGGTATAAGGGAAGTAGTCAACTAAATTGAGCTTCTGGAGACAGGTTATTATTCTGGGCCAAGTTTGCTCATGCTTGGTAAGGACAGAAGAAGCCCAAGAGCTTTTCATATGTAAGTCACTGGCGTGGGGACAAGGTCCGACTTGACTGTGGTATGCAAAAGAAAAGTCTCTCTTAATAGCTTCTGCACACTGAAGGAAATGGTGTCCTCCTGGCCTATTCTGAGAGGCAAATGATAATGACTAGCTTCATGAGAAAGCTTGCAGAACTGGTCATCCTGAGGAGGTGGGAAATGCTACCCCAGATCACTCTGAAGTCTTTCCCTCTCTGGATAATACCCCTGACAAGAGAGTCCACTCTGGGGAGGAAAGCTTTCAGAGATCAGGAAGTTTATTGTCAGCATCACAGATTTATGATTTGGCCACAAAACCCAATGGCTTTAGCAAGGAAGCTAGTGTTGACCTGGGGCTGGGCTTGTGTGTTTTATGCCAACTCCATATGTTTAAGAGCCTGTGGAGGTGAGACATCAGGTTCAACAAAGAATCACCTTTCCTCTCTGCTTCTGTTTCTGGCCATTAAAGACCCTGCAAATAGTTTGCTTTGGTGGTGTGTGATGTCTGGTTTTTCACTCCTGATCATTCAAAACCAATACATCTGTGATTTCATGGAGGATACCTACCTAGTGATGGCCTGATTTTATCTTTTCTGGCTGTTCTCCCTTGGCTTTCCTCTTTCCTTCCCCTCCCAAAGCTCCCCACCTCCACGCTTGGACATTTTCTTCCTGACTCAGCCCTTCTTGTAAACTTTCTGAACTACATCATTGCTTTTTCATTAAAACCACAGAATTAAGTTCATCTTAACCCTTCACAATATAGCCCATTATAACACACTGCTAAAATATCACAAACACCACAAGAACTCAACACCTTTCTGGAGTATGTACTCAAATTCAGAATCCAGTTTTAGGTAAGGTTACAATCCATTAGACTGGATATGGAGAAATCCATGATTTATGTAAGTGAATCAAGGGTTGGACTATAACATGAATTTGAGCGAAAATAACCTGGAATTGGGAAAATCAGCTTGATGGTTGTTGCAGGTGTTAGGGAATAAAAACCTGGATGGGTTGTGGTAACAGTAGAATGGCATGGGAGAGATATTTAACGGCAAGGATATACCTTGGCAAAGCTTTATAAGAGAAAGAAGGAAGGGAAGGATTTGCAGATGACAATGAGTTTTCAAGGTAGGCAACTGGGATACTGATGTCACCTGGCAGAGGCAGAAAAGTTCTGAGACGGGACTGGTTTTGCAGAGGAGAAAGAGCACACCTGTAGCTTTAGATGTACTGGGAAGCAATGCCAGTACATCCATGAGGAAAGAGAGAGCTTGTTCATTTGTTCTTTCATTCACGGAGCATCTCCTGTGGCAGGAGCTGGAGAGATACTGTGGGGAGGCTTAATGATGACTGAGATATTGTTTCTGTCCTTAAGAGCCTTGGGGTAGGCACAAACATCTCTAATAAAAGGTATCGTGTGTCAAATCTGTACAAGAGACACAAACAGATTGCCCATATCCATTCAGATAAAAGCAAGACCACATCCGGCTGGAATCAAAGTGCAGCACTCCAGCGAGGAGGAAGGGGGAGAAGGAACACAGCTAGGACTTTCTTTTCAGGACCCGCTCCCTGCAATCTGTTTTACTTAGCCAATGATCTTCATGTTTATTTTCATCTCATCTCGTACCCAACAAATTCAAATTGACCTAAGAGAATCCCTTAGTACTGGTTTCATCCATGTCGACATTCGGCCCAGGACTGCTGAAACCCTGGGGATGGACACGAGGGACACGCCAAAGGACTCTATGAAGAAGGTGAGAGGGAAAGCAACCTGGGACTGAGGCTCAGGGGACGTCTGACATTTAGAAATGGAGGAGAAAGAAAAGCCATCGAGAGAGACCAATAAGAAAGGTCGATGTCACGAAATTCAAGAGAAAAAAACTGTTTTCAGAATTGAGGAGTCGACAATGTCAAATGCTACAGAGAAGTTAGAAAGAATAAAAAGACCAACGATTCATAGTGTTAAGAATGCAGCAGCTCAGGGAACAATGTTAAAAACAAATCATGCACAGACAAAGCATTATTATTTTGAATAGTTTTATGATACCTAAATTCTTATTCCTACTCACACTGATCTCACTCACAAGTCAACAGCGGTTTTAGTCCATAGCTGTCATACTGAAATTGAGTACACGCCCCTATCAGGAAGAAAACTGAAGAAAGTAGTTTCAGTGGTAGTTTCAATGGAATGATCCTAAGAAGCTTCATTTTCATAATTTTTATACAAGATCTGGAAAGGCCTGTTGAACCAGTAACCCTCCTTATTCACATCTGTGCAGTTTCTGTCGATACCTTCAGTCCCAACATATCAGCAGTTAGCAAACAGTTCTTGTTAATCAGTCCTTCCACTTCAGGTGTTTTGTTCACAAGAATCTTGCCACGTTTAGGGCATCTGGGCAGCACTGCAAAATATCTGTGCACAGGTTTTTATGACCAAAGCTGGAGTTTAATCACTTTCAAATTGCACTCACATTGTTTTTTGTAAATACTAGCCATTTGCAAAATTATATATTTTAATTTCTAATTGGTTAATCTACTGATTACCCTACCTAGATTACCAGATTGTTCGTACCATAAAATCTAAAACCTTACCTGCAATGCTCACAAGTGACAGTAGGTGGGACAAGGTGAGTGAATACTTAATAAATGTTTTCTGAATGAATGAATGAATCTCTCAATTTGTTATTAATGTCATCACTATCATGAGCTATTATTTTATATTAGAAAAATACTTATTCTCTCAAGAGCTAAGAGCATAGCTCTGGAGTCAGGACACCAGAATTCAAATCCTAGGGCAGCTCTTGCTAGCTGTGTGACCTCTCAGTTCCTAACTCTCTTCATCTAATAATATGGAGTAATTATAGAGTCCCCTCATGAGATTTTTGTAAATGTGATACTACATGTCAAATCATACTTAGAACAGTACTTAGTAAGTTTTTGATAAATGTAACTATTATTATTATTACTAAACATCCACATTTATTTTTCTATGTTTATCTAAATGTCATTTTATTTAAGCACTGAACTAAGTATTGTTCTTCAATGACATTTTAACTGTGCAGTTTTAACAAGGTGAGGGCAGAACAGATGTCTGCATGTCCATCGGGGAGCCTGGAAAAAGAAATTTTGAACCTAAAAGAAAGATTTTAGATATCACCACCCCTTCCCAACTCCATCTACACAAAGAGCTTCTCCCAGTAACAAGTGTGTTGGTAAACTTGGCAACTGTTTGCGAAGCAATGCTGGAACAAGCCAAGCTATGACTACTCCTGAGTGTCTGGGAGGCAGAGGCCTTGGTTGTGACTCATCGCTAAAGTTCCGGGCAAATCGCGTCGCATGCCTGCCTGCACTTTCACCCCTGGGGATACATTGGAAATATAAACTGGGATCAAGCACCATTCTCTGCAGATGTATCTTCGTATAGACAAGCTTTACCTGCGCATTCAAGACCACATTGGAGGGCCCTGTTTCTGCAAACTAATATTAATGGGGATGCTGAGGGTCCCTAAAGTCCTTCCTGGCCCCCAGAGGGGTCTTACTTCATCAGCCTGATTTCCCTTCTCCTAACAACTCTCTGGTTGCTAAGGGATTATTTCCAGATCTTAGGACTCACTCTTTATCCTATTCCAGACCACAGCAGGGTTTACCGTCTTTCTTATGAGTTCGCCAGGGGCAAAAAGTAACATCCTAACCTCCTGTCAATTCAACAAGGAGAGATTTACTGCAGTTAACTAAAAGGACACTTGTTATGACAGGAATACATATGCTTCAACAAAAATAGGATCCCAGCTTGTGTCTGACCTTTGCAAACAATCAGGGGCCTGCCAACACAGGCTTTTTTTTTTTTTTTGGTTGCACATTCATTAGCAGTGCAACATCCAGATCCAGGGAGGTTTCCAAGGTGGAAACTCTGAGGCGGGTACTCAGATAGGGAGATCACCTCCAGGGCAGTAGTTTTTAACCGACAATAGCAACAACTACAGTCTCTTTGTATGGGTTTTTGGACTCCCTACCCAATGTCCACCTTCCTTTCCTTCATTACAGACAGAACCCTAGGTATACTGGCAAAAGCCAATTCTAAGTTAAATATCGATACATTTCCCAGCCTGCCTTGCATGGTCAAGAACAGCGAGTTGCAAAAAAAGTTCCCTGTAGGTTTCTGGGAAATTTTTCTTTCCTAATATAGATGCTGCCCCTCATCCTCCCTTTCTGCCTATCTCTAGGTTTTGTGAAGGCTAATTTGGCTGATTTCCTTGTGATTACTTCCCATGTTGTAATTATGTTCAGAGGTTTTGAAACTGCTGGAAGTCTGATTTCTAGGTAATAAGAATATTCCTGTATATGAGTTGATTGCTTCTTAAAAATTGATTTATACAGTTTGATACTGAATATTATAAGTGAAAATGATTAAACATCTGCCCTTTTTCAAAGTTACTAATTAATATACAGGCAAACATGAGATTAGGTAATTAATTACAGAAAGGTCAAAAAGTTTGAGGAATGGGCAATTTATTTCAATAAAGGGAAATAACTAATTTTGCTACAGTGGGAAAAAATGTGGAATTCAAAAATTGCTGCATTTAACTATATCCCTATTTATCTTTGTACAATGCCTGTATCTCAATGTCTCAATTCCCTGCACGTTCTTTTCATACCAAGGTATTGAATGAGAAATATATCGAGTTGATTGATTGTTTGACATATCTGATCTAGAGTGGTTTCCACACCACTCCTCTCTTTCTCTTTTTTCTCCCAGTAAATACTTTTGACTTTGACATTTTCCGTACTGGAAATGACAGGTGCCTGAGGGCAAATGCATCAAAGTAATTAGGATCAGAACCTTTTGCTAAGGATTACTGTTTAAATAAGCACAATGTAGTTTCATTGAATCCTCAACATGCAGAACCAAATGAATCTCCTTTATTGTGAAAGAAAACAATCCAAACGATTGTACACCACAGAAACTAACAGAAGCACTTAAACCTTTAGTACAAACATATTTATTTTTCAAACTCTGGACAGTTTTCTTAAGTATATTTGTGATCTAAATACCCCTCTCCCTTTTCTTTACAACATACCATTCTCGCTCTGTTTGTTTATAGAATGACGGCCTTAAGAAAAAGCCTTATTCACATTCCCACAAAAGAAATAAATAAATATTTGTCTATAGGATCCATTTAACTGAACTTGACTAGATCCTGGTAGAGTTTCCAATCTTTATAACAGACGCATTAGAGGATGGACGTTCTTTCCTTATCAACAAATTCCTATTAATGTAGCTAAGCAGTTCGTTAAATTATTCAAATGCATTTATTGAGCTCCTATTATGTGCAAAGTGTTGTCCCAAAGTAGACACTCTTCATTAGATGTAAAATGGGCCACTGAATAGATAACTTCAGGAGTTTAGGACTTTGATGCACTCAAAATATCCTAATGATAGAAAATGTTTGCTGTTGCTGCTGCTGCGGTCAAAAGTGCCCAGTTTATGTCTATGGAACAGATCAGGCATTGGAAGAATATAATTCATATTTAAGCATTAATAAAAGATGGAGTTAGAGAGTGGTTGTACCTTTATGACATAACTCAAATGACAATGTGAAGTACATTCTAGTGATCCAAAATACTAGCATCTGTGCAAGGTAGTCTAGGAAATGACACCAGTTTAAAAACAACAACAGTATCAACTTCAAAATAAACCAGGATATAGATCAATTGCAATTTATAGGAAAAATTAAAATATAAAACCACTAACCCTTCCCCCTAGCACTGAAATTATACTTTCTCAGACACTCTGCCATCATTGGTAAGCATGGAGGAAACTGGGTAAGTTTAAAGCATTTTAAAGAATTAAATAATACAGCCAAGTTTTGTGTGTGTTTGGTCACAAAGATTTTTCAATGTATTTTTCAACATTACAGTTTTAGGAATGGAAATTGAAGAAATTATAAGTACTTTCTTAGAAACAGGTTACAAATTTATTACAACTCCCTCCCCCCAAGTGAAAATACGACCCATTACCAAAATAACGCAAGCTATTTTGTCTATCATCCATAAGACATAACTTCACAGGATATCAGGCTTCCAAGATTTAAGTGCTTCTGTCACATGCCTCTAATTGGGTATTTTTTTCCTCCTGAACTAAATAGTTTCTCTCATCAGGTCATGAGTTATCTGCTGACAAAGTACCTTCGGGTTAAATATACTTGCACCATTTCTCTATCCCCCAAGTCAAGCCTCCATTTATAAGCTTAAACTCAGCTCCTGATCTCTCTATTCAGAACTCCCCATATTTACTTCATGTGGAAAGGAGAGAGACTTATTCTAGGAGAGGGATGCTATTTCCAGCTCATGCCCAGTCTCAGAAAGTCAAACTCAACCTCATCACCTGAAAAGAGCCTTGGGAGTCTCTCATTCAGAAACTTGCCATTCCTATTATTTTCTAAATGTGATGATTAAATAAAATTAAATGCAAATAATAAACAGTAATTAAATTAAAAAAACTTAAAATAAATTAAAAAATACATGGTCTGGCGATTTTCAGAGAAGGTAATAAAAGGTCAATTGCCAGTAAATTCACATTCCTTTCTGTACCAGTTTCTACAATGAGTGGGCAACACTGCCCTCTAAAGGGCTTATTATGTTACATCCTTTAGTTCACATGGTTAGAAAGTGCCCCAGAATGTATTAACCAGTGCCCACACACATTCTTTGTTTACTTCTGGGACAGTCTGTCCTTGACCTTCAGTGAATGACTCTGAAGAACATGGAGCTCCTAAAGAGGCCATGAGACGTAAAAGCTCATTGAAGGGATCAGAAACTAACATTTGTTGCAGTGGTTTTCCAACTTTAGTGGCATTAGAACCACCCCGAGGGCTCGTTTAAACATGGGTTGCTGGCCTCCACCTCCAGAGCTTCTGATTCCAGAAATCAGGGGTTGAATGGTGAAATTTGCCTTTCTAACAAGTTCCCAGGAAATGCTGATGCTGCCCGTCCAGGAGCCATACTTTGTAAGCCAGACACTGTGCTAGGCATTTTATCTCACTTAATATTCACAACAGGGTGAGGTTTCAGTATCTCTGTTTTACAGACCAGGAAGCCAACTAACTCTCAGAGAGATTAAGTGGCCAAGATAACACAGTAGTGACAGAGTCTGTAATAACCCCAGGACTGTCTAACTCAAACTCATTGCTCTCTTCTCTACAATGTAATGTCAGTAAATGAAGCTGATGGTCACGTCATCTTCCCTGGCCTTAGCATCTTTCTGCAGGGAGCAGCATGTAGATGACTGGTTGTTCCCCTTTCAGAGTACTTAGAAGTCTGAATATGAAGCAGGAAGGTCCACTCTATCCCCAGGCTGATCTGTGAGAGGGGAAGGGATGGCATAGGCCTCTCTTCGGTCCTGAACCCTCCTACACTGTTCAGAGGGGGTCTGTTTGCTCTGGATTCTGGAAATCTTAAGTGGGCTCAGAAACTCTGGAAGAGAGTTGTTAAAGCTGGTGTCTCCTTTCACAGGCAATCTAAGGACCTCAAAGCCTAGTAGGGCTTGAAGATGACCCATAGGGTGGCAGTTCTGCCCTCCCCACCCCACTCTCCCCCAGCCTCGGCTCAAACCAGGCGGGCAGGGACCACACAACTACTTAAAACAGGCGTGCCAGTGATGTGAAGACTGAATAGTTTTGATACAGGAAAAATAGTTTTGAGGTCACGTATACCAGTCCCTAGCACTCAACCCCAGGCGGGATGTCACAGTGATGGGGAAAAAAAAAGCTGTGAGGACCCACACCCCCACCCCCGCCCGCCACAGACACACACATACACTTCAGAAACGGTTTTTCTCATCCTTTGCGTTCAGCTCCTAACACAGCCTGGTGTTTTCGTGAGGGAGCTACAAATCTGGAGAATCCCAAGGGGACGAGTTCTGGCCTCCGTCATTCGGGGAAAGGATGTTCTCAGAAAAACAGCGCTGAGGGCTGGTCAGCAGAGATCTTGAGGTGGTGGCCACGGCTGGACTTCGTGCAGAGCTGCACTCTGGACTCCAGCTGCTCACTGAGTTCGTCCAGAGCCCCCGTGCAGGACTCCAGGCTTTCCGCCAGTTTCTGAATCTTGGCCTTCAGCACAGCCTGGCTAACCTTGGTGGCCCCTTCGGCCCGCCTGGGGATGAGGAAGCCACGTGAGCCGAAGAAGACGATGAAGTAGACGGAGTTGTACAGGGCCATGGAGGCGTTCCTGCCACACTGCAGCAGCTGGCGGTCCCCGCGGCCCTGCCAGCGGCAGAAGAACTCCAGGCAGCTCAGGATCTCGCGCATCTGGTCCTGGCAGGTGGCCGCGATCTCCTGCACCCTCCGCACCTCCCGAGAGTTGCAGAAGATCAGGGAGAGGTCGGACGTGATGGTGACGGCCCCTCCGGCGGTGGCCACCCCCAGCCCCACGGCCGACGCCACGAGCGAGACCCCCAGGGTGACTGGGCTGAGCGAGAGCCCCACGATGGCGGTGACGGCGCCCGCGGCGCTCAGTGAGCTGCCCGCCACGTTGGCCGCCAGGGAGCGCCTGCGGAGGCGCTCGAGGCGCCGGGCCACCTCGCGGAGGCGCAGCAGCTGGCTGTGCAGTCGGCCCCGGCGGTCCAGCAGCAGACCCTGGAAGCGCCGCAGTGCTTCTGCGCCCTGCAGCTCCCGGGCCGCTGGCCCCTCCATGCCCTGCGGGGACACAGTCACGCAGTTAGCCCGAGTGTCCGTGCCTCACGGCGGTTCCCGCGGGCGGTTCCCATACGCAAGCCGGGAACTGGCAGAAGTTAAACCTAACGGCTACTGCCACGCAAGGGGAAACGGGTCATTTTCCAGTGAGTCATGTGTAAAGTTCTCAAAGATCCGGTCTGTTATCTGGGACAAGTCTCACAAGTTCTCAGGACCTTAAATCCACATATGCAAATAGGATTAATGCTATCCTCTGCTTTCCTCCCAGGGAACGCTAAGGATGGACTTTATTAACTATCTATCTGTTAAATGAGATGTAGGTTCAGTGAGGAGAGAGTCGTGGTGTTAGAAGTCTACTGCAAATACTCAGGCCTCTGCTCTGAGAGAGAGAGCACTTGACAAGTGATAGGTTGTACCTATTTACAAAGTCCTTTTGACGCATGAAGACTTGGATCCCAGCATTTTTGCAATACAGTTTTTTTCTCTCTGATGAGTGAAAAAGATAAAAACTCAAAAATTATGATGTCTATCAAATGTAAGAAACAAATCTAAGTTAGATGCTTGCCTGAAGCAATTTCTCTGCTTGTTACTCTTCCAGCTTATTATTTTAGAATTAAACCGAAGATATGGTTTGTGCTACTTAACTATCGCTCATCAGGTCTCACTCTTTGATGAGTACTTAATAAAAACTAAATTATATTAAATTAATACCACTGTCTCTTTACTATGAAAGCTTCCTTTTAAAAATGAGTAATAGTTGAAGAAAATAAAGTGGCCCCAATTTTTTGTTTAACAACTCACTGAGGGCTCCCTTGTACCATGTTCAATTGAAGCCAATTGCAGATGTCTAACAAACAGAACTGTCATCCTGGGGTAAAAATATGTCCTTCTTAGTTGCCCAAAATTCCCACTTTTATATCCACTGTACTCATTGTTATTAGGAACTTCTTAAAAGTGGCAAATAAGAAGAGATAGAAAGGCATAGAAACAGCATTTCAATCCTTTGAGATATTACAGCAGAAATTATTCTCATTTGAAAGATGAGGAAATTGAAACACAGACAGGTTCTAGATGCTGCTGATTCTTCACAGAGCCCAGTCTAGAATCTTGGTCTCCTGACTCCTAGGTCTTCGTTTTACTTGCATGCCTCCATAATTCCACCCACCAGTGATACATTTCCAAGTAAAGACATCTCTTAGCAAAATGAGAAAAAGTCACTCAAAATATATAATGGGCCAAGGATATAATATTACAAGTCCAGTGGCTATTTTTCAGACGGTATCCCTCTAGGCTCCCCACTTACCATTCACTTCTGGCTATCTCCAGGAAAGAAAAATCTGAGGCTGTTTCTGGATGAGCATGTTTTATAGTTCCAGAGAGCCAATGATTGCCCTGGGAAAGCCTTGTCTCATTCTGAGAATTGCCATTTCCTGTCCTGGCCCCCACTGCCTTCATCCAGAAGGATGTGACATGGTGGAAAATGACCTGCCAACCTCACAGCACATCCCGTATTTAGGAAATGAACATTGTGTGTTCGCTTTCCCCCAAACGCAGGAAAAGAACTGCAGGCTCTTCCCCAACTTGAAACAAGTGTTGTCATTTTCCCAGGGGGTATACCCTGCCTTTCCTCTCCTGAGAATAGCTAATGACGTTATCTGAGAGGACATCAAAGGCACCCCAGGCTGACCAATTATAATGTTTCTTGAGACGCCACCATTACAAAATCAATTTTTAAAAAGAAAATGGGAGGGCAACTCTTACATTTGATATAGCCACTTACGGTCCACTTCTGTATTTTAAAAAGCATTGTGAATCTGTGAGTAGTGGAAACATGTGATCCAATCAACAAGCCTTTAAAAAAATGCAAGGTCACACCCACAGGAAGTCCTGCGTGCAGTTTTGGGCATCTCCAGCTGCGAAGATATTAGAGGTCTCGGAAAGGGCACGTTGCAGGCCAAATGCGTCAGAAAAATCCGTGGGGTCAGGCTGCACAAGGAGCTAATTATATACTCTCAACAGCAGCGAAGATTCAGCTTCCTGGGTTTTCATTTGAGGTAGCAATTGTAGCCCATGCAGTAGTTAAATAAATGGATTCTATCCCTAAGTTAGTGAAGCATGGGCTGAGGGCAGTTATCTGAATAATTCAGGAGGGGAAAAGGAATATAGCATCTGTGGATGCTTTCTGGGCTATTTAGATAGGTGGTTGGAGCTCAGGCAAAAGCTTTTAACCACAGAGCTCCATATACAAATATGTCATCCTTCTTCTAACACTCTCACCTTCAAATGAGGAAGGTCAAATTGGATTCTCACTGAAATTATTATTGTCTCAACTCTCTGGTTCATCTGGAAAGTCTTAACAGTCATCTCTTTCTGGAACACAATTAAATTCCCCATCTTGACAACTATACTTTGTATTTATCAGCACAAGGCCATTTGCTATTACTCACAACCATGGTCCTTTTGAACTTGATTTTTCTGAATTTGGTCCATGTCTAAATATTCTGGTTATAGCTCCTCAAAGGATAAATATAACCTTAGTTTTATATGCTTTCAGTATCTACCTGTGCTTTTGACGTAAGAGGTGGGAAGATCTCTTTGTCTGTCCCCATAAACATAATCAATCCAAGTGGGATGTAAGCCAAAGTGAATTGAGGGTGGGAAGGCTATGAGCAAGAGGGAAGATCTCTTTGTCTGTCCCCATAAACATAATCCAAGTGGGATGTAGGCCAAGGCGAATTGAGGGTGGGAAGGCTATGAGCAAGGAAGGACCATATCCTGATTCTTTAGTTCCCATATGCTTCTCCAACTTTGCGTGTGTGTGTGTGTGCACAGACACATGTGTGTATATGTATTGGGTTTAGCTGAACTAAATTAAATCTTTATTTCATGGATGAGGAATTTTGCTGAGATACAGAGAGGGTCACTATCTTGAGAGCATTAGTAATCATAGTACAGAACTAGGATGAAAAAATAGAAGATATATGAGAATGGACAGCATGTATGCTGATCTCAGCCCATATCCTGAGAAATTTGTTGTAAACTAATTTGCTTCATACTTGTTTCTCTCTGGAGTAAAAAGAATCCAGTCACTTTACAGGATGGGCTAGTTGAACTTTTACCATCTGTAAAAACTTGGTACTTCACATTATTTACAGGAACAGACACGTGACCATAACACTTTTGACAGCATTTACTTACTTTCATATATTTAAACATAATAAGAAATATGAAGAATAATTAAAAATAATTTAATCAAAAATTTTATGTGGGCAGTTCTCCATACCCCCTCCCCCCCAAAAATCTGTGGATTGCATCCTCATACTTCTTTTCTAAATTGTTTTTGTGGCACTCGTAACACATCACCTCAGAAAGACTACATTGAAAATTGTGGTTGATCCTCAGACTAGTCTTCGGATCTATTGATGCAGCTAAACTGTACCGTTAACAATACTAGCTGGGATTCTAAGTCCTGGATCCACAGGAATTACGGTATGAGAAAGACTAGAGGAAGAAAGCTTCTTAAGCACAGGCATCTCCAGATTCCAGCCCTGGAGAGTCTGAATCAGGAGGTCTGGAGTGGTGTCTGGGCTAATGTAGGTGATTCTGATCTGCAGCCAGGGTTGTGAACCATTGCTGCAGAAGCTGTGAATTTTTTGACCACTAGTTACATGGCAGCAGGAACAGTGCTAGTAGACAGCAGTTTGTTAGTTAGGTGTTTACACAGTTAAGTTGCTAATAACCCATTCGTTTTGTGCCCCTAGTTAAAACTATTACATTTTAGAGATGAAGTAATCATTATGATCAGGGTCTCCCAGAGATCTAGAGAGGTCTGGGCCATATCCACTTTTTGAGGCTCTTGGTGAATAATAAAAATGAAGAAATTCTAAAACAAGATATAAAAAATTGTGACTTATTTCTTTTAATTGTAATATCTTACAATGTCAATATATTGCTATTCACAAGATAATAACAGGATTTATAAAATATTAATTTGTAGTGCACTACAATGGCAATGTGATACAAGTTTAGAGTTATATGATGATGACTTTTTCCTTTTAATGTTTATCAGTATACCTCAGTGACTATACATAAAATCCCTTTAGGAGACAACATCAAAAGTATAAAATTGAGGCAATTTGTAAATATGAGGTTTAGGCCAAAAGTCTTTCAGACTTTTCTTTGTTCTAGGCCCTAATATGTAAAGTCACTCAAATAAATAAAAGTAAGTCAAAATATAACACATATCCACCTTAGGATTTTGCCCATGTATTCTGGAAATTTCATGAGACTATAAATGCTCTAGCACATACTTAAGCTCTCAAAATTGCTCGTTGCATTAAACTAAAGAAAAGTATTTTGTTCTCTTGAAGAAATGCATTATGTCCATAATAATTTGATGAGAATTTAGCATGGAATTATCTCTTGGAATATATAATGTGGTAGATAACTTAGAGCCCTTATTCTGCAGAGGACTTTCAGGATATCTATGTTGCATGACATTTCAACTATTATTGTCATAAACTCATGGAATTGCGCAGGTAAAATAAGGCCCAGTGAACACTGAAGTCCAGCCATTTCTTTTCTCCAAATTGGCCTATGATCTTTGTTAATGTACACACACCTCCTTAACCACTAGTGTTTGAACACTGCTCTGTGTTCTTTTTTCCACTTAGCGTTCCTGCAGATACACACTTTATGTTGACATAGTCCTCACCTCTTGTCATTTTTAATAGCTATGTAATAATCCCATTGTTTGCTTAGTCATTTCCCTATTAGACACTTGGATTGCTTCCAGTTTTTTCACTATTATAACTAGAGTTGCCAGGAACATCTGTATAAATTTCCCCCCTTTGGATTACTTCTTTGGAGAATATTCACAAACGGGAAAAATACCAGGTGAAGAATGAACATTTTCATGGTTTTTGTTCCACATTCCTATATTTCTTTCCAGAAGAACCAGTTCATAATGCCATTAGCTTTGTAAGAATCCCAGCTAGAGACTA